CCAGGTTTTACCCGATTAAATGTTTTTATTCAAATACTATTCGTTACAATTATAAATTGGCACCGTGGATGTCACTTTTGTGAAACGTCCTGCTCCAAACTTTGTGTGTTTTTAAAATATAAAAGTAAAAATATAAATTTTCACAACGATATTTGAAAATTATATAATTTTGATTTTCAAATACTATTCGTCACAATTATAAATTGGCGCCGTGGATGTCACTCTTGTGAAACGTCCCGCTCCAAAGTTTGTGTGTTTTTAAAATATAAAAATAAAATGTAAATTTTCACAACGATATTTGAAAATATATTATTTTGATTTTTAAATACTATTCGTTACAATTATAAATTGGCGCCGTGGATGTCACTCTTGTGAAACGTCCCGCTCCAAACTTTGTGTCTGAGAAGCGATATTTTCATAGAAAGATGATCTGGCTTTTGTTTTCTGATCGAATGAATGCTTTTCTGTTAGAATTCTGTTCCTGCGTACAAAATGATGAACTGGTTTCACCAGTGGTCTCTGCTTTTTTGGTTTTTTTCCTGATATAATTTTGTATCTGATAATCAAACATGATACAGCAATATTGTCATCATCATTTTCTGACTGAAAAACATTATTTTTGCCCAGAATCTGTAACCTTTATTTTTTATTGGCTAAAAATCCGATAAATATATTTTCCAGATTTTTCTCTATGTCCTGTCAAAACACGTTTTACATGTACATTAGGTCAGCTGATATTACCTCCCATCTTCACCGCTAGAGGCGCTACTTGCGAGCGAAAAGGCAAATTTACAACGCAATTTGCAAATAACTCGAAAAATATTCGGGATAGAGACCTGAAATTTTCACTAAAGTTTTTGTTGTGTTAAGTTTGTGGACGTGTATAGCCGACATAGATACCCACATACATACATACATACACTGACCTTTATATATATAGGGATAATATATATATCCAATTATAAAATATATAAAAATATAATGTATTCATATCTCCGTAGCTTTGGTAGAGTTGGCTACGCCCTTTCGCCTCTAGTGTTATCTCGTTGAGAGTGCAAATATTGGGAACTTCACTCAGCGGGTTTGCACAACCCCTCCCCCTGGGTTCCATTTCTTGCGGGATTATCTTTGACAGGGCATGCTGTTGACTTCACTGATGTAAAATGTCGATCCGATTAGTCCGCAATAGACTCCTCATCCATCTACAGTCATGGGCCAGAAGGGAAGCGCACTAGCCTGATTACAAAATAACACCACACATATATGAATATGGTCATTTGGGTTTTGGGGGTCGCAAATAGGAAGGCGAGAGTGGACATTAGGGAAGTTCTTGGATTAGACCAGATCGGGCAGCATGGCGAACTCTATTGCAGCGTAGTGCAGTGAGTATACTTAAAATAATTGTAAATAGAGTGTATAAATGAAATTATATCAAAACTGATTAATTTTATAATTCCATTAAAGGCGAAAAAATTGATACTATTTATAGTCTTATAGTATAATAAATATTTACAAATATAGGTCTTTCTGTAGGTTCCACTATGCGGTGAATAATTATGTATGGTCCATTTAAAAATCTACAATTAAAACGAATATACTTTACACACCTCTCTGTCATTCAACCTCATATTCAGCACTATTACTTCAACCACATAGTTGAAAAATATTCACTCGATTGTTAAGAGATTTATTACCGACTTAATATTATATATATTAAATATAAACATGTTTTTTAAAATATTCTATATACAGTTACGAGCGTCATTCGTCATCTCCTAATCTCTCTCTGTCACCGTCTGCTTTTTTTTTGGAATGGCGCCCCCCTATTGGTTGGCTACGGTCACGCCACCTTTGCCCCCCCCCCACTCGCTATTTATGTAACTATTGTGTTGGAGCGGGTCGCTCCCTAAATAAATGCATATATTAGATAATAACCAAATAGATTCCTCTCTTTATTTTTCCCAGTAAGAGACGCCTACGGAAGCCAACAGTACATAGACAGATAAAGCACATAGGCTATAGTTATTAACTAACATATGCAATTATTTAAGGCGCCAATTTATAATTGTAACAAATAGTATTTGAATCAAAACATTCAATCGGGTAAAACACGGGCGTTGCCCGGGTCATTCGGCTAGTAATATATAAATATAATACATAAATATATAAATCTTTTTGAAAATATAATATAATGAATATATGCCTTTTAATTATCTAAGATAAATGTATAATTAAACATTCAAATTTGTTAAGAATTTTGTTATTCTCTCTACATCGTGAAAACGATACATTTTTAACCCTCTATTCCCGATTGGAAGCCAGGTTTTAAGTAATAATTTAGAGAGTAGTTTCTAAATAGAAATATGGTCGATTTTCAATATGAGGCCTTAGGTCTCCAATGTAGAACTTAGGGACGAGAATGGCCAATGTGCGAGTTATTGTTAGCTTTTGATTTGTTTCCTTTTCTATATCATTCATCATCACTTGAACTTCTTCATCCACTTTTTTAACGTTCACTTGAACCTGTGCATCGCTTTTCAATGGCAAATGGAGATATTCCTTTTTTCCATCTTTGGCATATTTTCTCAGAGGTATCTGCATATCAGTTGCGCTGAACTTGCATGTGAAGATATTCTTTTCATTGGCTTTGGGAATTTTCCATCCCACATTGACGGTCTGAATGGCGCAATCTGCCTTCTCTTGGCAATGGTCTTGTTGCGTTTTCGCTCGCTTCGTCTTTTTTGATTTCTTCTTGATCCTGCAAAATAAAAATAAAGTTAAAATTGTTAGAAATTTTCGTGCTTTTTTAGACATTTTTTTTTTAGAATTTGAAAACTCTTAGGCTGCTTAGAGGTTATCTTTTTTTTTTTTTTAACAATGATGTTTCCTATAATACTACAATAATTTGATAAATATATTTGATATAATGTAATAACATAAAAGTATAATTAATAGAAAAACATCTCCTGATCGTGCAACAGAAAGTTGTGGTGCTATCTGTTGGAATAAATATCAACTTATCTTGACTACTACTAATTTCTTGATTGATGAAGAAGAGCTTACTAAGTTTGTGTTTAAGGCTATTGGCTTTCATTTGAACGGTCAGGATATACATTTTATCTCTATATATATATAAAAGTCAATTTCTGTCTGTCTGTTTCGCGATAAACTAAAAAACTACTGAACCAATTGGTACCAAATTTTGCATGTCGAGGAAAATTTCGGCTGCATTTTGATTAGTATTTTGGCTATTTCTTTTTTTTTTAATTTGAAGAACTTTTTTTTACGCGGACTAATCCGGAATGGGATGAATACCTAAATATGGCCATTTTTTTTAAAGCATCGGTGGTTCAGTGGTAGAATGCTCGCCTGCCACGCGGGCGGCCCGGGTTCGATTCCCGGCCGATGCATTTTTTTTTTACAATTTTTAAAACTCATTTATAAAAAAAAATATAAATATATACTATTATATCAACTATATTAATTAAATTGAATACCTAAACACTAATATAATACAATTTTTGCCATCACACACACTTTTTTCCTGTAGTTTATGTGTTACTTCTGTATTGCTATTCTATGGCACTTCTAATATTTATTATTGATATACTTTTAGTATGAAGGAAATTACACCCAAGGGATTTCTCGGGCGAAGCCGGGTCATTCGCCTAGTATATATATATATTTTATATAAATATAATAAAAAAGTGCGGGAGTATGATGTGCATGTAAAAAAGAAGCACTCTTTCTTTAATTATGAACGATTCATTCTTCATCAACTTAGTAAAATATTTACTAGAGATGATTAAAAATAATCCAAAACTAGTTATTGCAATATTGAGAATAAGCTAACTTTAATACTATAGATTTGGGTTTTATCACGAGCTTAAACATCTGTTTTGCAAATTCGACCGATCTAATAACTACTCTCGTAAGATGTTATTACAAATATATATGAAAAATAAACGATATAAAAAAGCAGATTTGCTTTTAGTCAGGATATACACTCATTATTTTTAATATATATATATATATATATAAATATATGTCGTAAACCCGGGTTAGCCAACAAGTGAGTTGGAAGCAGTCGGGGTTGAGTGGCCAGGCGTGCAGAGTGGGAAGTCCGCACGGGACAGTAAGGACAAAGTTTGGGATAAAAGGACGCTCTCCTAGTACGTTTCACGTGGCACCAGGACCAGGGGAAAGTTGAGGATTAACTAAGGAAAGCTCGGCGTCCTGCATGAAGCCGCGGAGGCAGGGAGGAACCAAAATTGTGGCCACGAGGGCCGCCGTGAGACCTAGCACCGAGCGGCCTGTCCGAAAATATCCACTGTAACCTAACCAACTGTCAACATCCGGACCAACGCCCTTTTTTTGTCCCTCTCTGGATCTCCCGGAAAGCTGGTGTCAATTTGAGACGACTAGAAAAGACGTCATACTTTATTACTTACATATCACATTGTTTAAATTACATTATATATATATATATTGAAAACAAAGAAGGCATATCCTGACCAGGAGCACGTGTTTTCTTTAGATGGCAAAACGCCATCACCAACTGACCTTTTTATTAATAAGGTTTCTATTATTTTCCACGTGTTTATCATATTTACGCAAGTTTGACCTTGAATACCCTTTCCTTCGTTTCTCAAGAAACCTCTGGTACCAAAAATAATTTTGGTCCCAATTGTACAGCCTGCTCTACGCTAACGTGGATCAACAGCCCGAAACGCGTTCCTGGATGGCTTTTCTTGATTTATCAATAAAATGGGTTGGCTAAATATCAGGGAACAGGCTATATGAATGTTTAGTTGATTTCTGTTCCAATAGATGAAGCTCTGCCAAGAACATGTGCTCCTGGTAAGGATATGCCTTCTTTTTTTTTATCAACACCTGACCTTTTTATTATTTTTCTTTTGTTTTTATTAAAATATACAAGTATCAGAGTCATCACAATCAATTCTGTCACCGTTTGCTTTTGTGATTGTCCATTCTTTATAACCATCGGTGGTTCAGTGGTAGAATGCTCGTCTGCCACGCGGCCTCGGTTCGATTCCCGGCCGAAGCATTTTTTTTTTTTTTTTTTACAATTTTTAAAACTCATTAATATATTATACAAGAATGACATCCACGGCGCGAATTTATAATTGTAACGAATAGTATTTGAATAAAAGCATTTAATCGGGTAAAACCCGGGCGTTGCCCGGGCCATTCGTCTAGTATATATATATATTCAAAATACAGTAATTCATAAATAAATCTTTAATTAAAAAGGCATATAGTGGATCGAATTATAATTTATTTTACCAATATTTCAGTTGGCTGAACGCCAACCTTTATCAAGGTATTATAACATATTAATATGTGTGATATTTTATAATACCTTGATAAAGATTGGCGTTTAGCCAACTGAAATATTGTTGAAATAAATGAAATTTTGATCCAATATATTCTTTTTTAATAAAAATAATATATATATATATATGTATGTGTGTGTGTGTGTTTATTAATTGATATCTACGAAATAGACAACGTTCGTATATTTCGATACATTTTGTATATTTATCTATAATTATACAATTCCAATTACCCTTATTTGAAATCAATTTAAGGAATCTAAACCTATATATATATATATATATGTGATAGTTAATTAAGAATTCCCTCCTTTACTTCTCTCCCCAGTCTAACACCGTCTATCTATCTATCTAAGCTCCGTTCCGGAAGTCATCAGGCCACTAATGCATCCTCGCATCATAATTTATCAATCCTCTATCAGCACATCTTCATTAAAATATGGAATCAATAGAATTTCCTCTTTAATCTCCATACTAACTCAATATTCCACTTTGTTTCAGCTCTTCAGTTTATATCCTATTGAGTTAGTAAACAGCATAGTTTAATTCATAGTTTAATACATAACCCTCTCGTTTCTGGCCACAGTTTTCATTGATTTTATTTGTAGATCGAAATAGTCGCCCTTGTACAAATTTCCTTTCTATTAACTACAGATAGTTCTGTGTATATATACTCTTATATGTACAATATTATATATTTTTGTCATTCATATCTACTTAAAGGAAAAAAATCGTTCAATATAGGTAATTGAGCATATATGTGTATATAAAACAGATTATCCTCTTATACGTTCTCGTTTTTACTCCTGTGAATTGGAATAAATGCTTGAAACTCATAAAAATGAAAATATTACGAGAAACACTTTGCTTCACAGTTTTTTACGTTTGATAATATACTTACTCAGGCAATTATTCAACTTATAATATAAATGTTTAACATTACTCAGGTCCTTAAAGTACAACAAAGGAACCTTCTCTTTCTGGCAATGTATTCATAGCTAAAGGAGAACCCTGGGCAATACTTATTATAGGAACATTTACATTCTCTGACTTCAAAATAAAAAGTATGGAGAGACCATGTGGCCTACCCTCAGTAGAGGAGGGCATTAAGGAGGAGATATGGAGAGACCATGTGGCCCACCCTGAGTAAATAGAGGCATTAAAGGTATAGATATGAAGAGACCATGTGGCCCACCCTCAGTAGAGGAAGGCATTAAAGGGGTAAATATGGAGAGACTATGTGATCCACCCTCAGTAGAGGAAGACATTGAAGGAGGTAGATATGGAGAGACCATGTGGCCCACCCTCAGTAGACGAAAACATTGAAGGAGGAAGTATGAAGAGACCATGTTGTCAACCCTCAGTAGAGGAAGGCATTAAAGGGGTAAATATGGAGAGACTATGTGATCCACCCTTAGTAGAGGAAGACATTGAAGGAGGTAGATATGGAGAGACCATGTGGCCCACCCTCAGTAGAGGAAAACCTTGAAGGAGGAGGTATGGAATGACCATCTGGCCTACCCTCAGTAGAGGAAGGCATTGAAGGAGGGAAGTATTGAGAGACCATGTGGCCCACCCTTAGTAGATGAAGTCACTGAAGGAAGGAGATACGGAGAGACCATGTGGCCCACCCTCAGTAGAGTAGGACATTGAAGGAAGAGGTATGGAAAGACCAGGTGGCCCTTCCTTATTAGAAGATAGCACTGAAGGAAGGAAGTGTTTATGACAAACAAAAACATAGAGGAACTAATTTTAGTTATAAAAATACATTTTAAATATCCAATAATTATTATTCATAAATACATCCTTAAATTATAAATGTATATATTAAACTACAACGATGTGTTCGTATATATATGAGAATATTTCAACGGATTTCTCAACACACATAATTCCTATATATTGTTTCTATTATATGTATAAAACTATCTGTATAGCGAATAAATCTAGATTAAAACAAAGAGCACAATTAAAAAACATATTTAAAAATTATTTATGTTCAGTTTTTGTGAAATTCAGAAAAATCGCTATTTAAAACAAGCTAATTGTATATTTTATAAATAAAATATTGCATTTATCTATTACCCACATATAAAAAATCTTAATAAAATACTAATAATTATACTTAATCTTTATATAAACTAGAACATCAAAAAGATTATACAAACACATATTTGTACAAAATCTACAAAATATATAGTATATTAGTTTAATTTGAAAATGCAAACTATTGTTTCACTATTTAAATTTTCCAAGTTAACTCTCTCAAAGTAATCTTCTTTGGTTTAATATATTCATTGCATTTTCTCTAATTGTTATACTAGATCAATTCAATTTCCATATGGTTTATCTAATTTTAATCACCAGAATTAATTCTATTTAAAAATAAATTGAAATTCTATTTAATATTAATCCCTTCTAAAATCTATATCTAAATATATTCATTGATATTTTTATTCTTCCAAATACATCTAGGAATTCCATATAAACATATTTTTACTAAGGTTTATACGCATTAAATAAATCCCTATATATAAAAATGTTATCTAAATATAAATATTTGTTTTTATAGATGGTAAAAAACATCAAGGACAATATAATAGACTCTATAAATACACGGATAACAAAGACGACTGAAAAAATAAGTAAACTTCAAGACAAAAAAAAAAGAACATTTTGTGACGTACCAACCGAACTGAATAAAGAGTAAATATATACTTTAGAATTATTTAATATTTTTGCTGCATCAACTCTATTCACATTTGTTTTCTTCTTTTATATTTATATGAAATCTCCAAAATATATCACGCATGTATGATTACAAAGCGTTATTTAGAAATTCAAATTTGTGAGCATAAAGAAGGTATTTCACCCTGCCAAGCTTTAAAGACCTCATTTGAATTGTAAATGTTATTATGGTGGACTGGGTGAAAAACATTTTAGCCTTAAATCGATCATATCTTGCCCTGAAAAAGAGAAGGAAGATTCTAGCTTCACGACAAACTTTTTACGCAATTAAAAGTTTAGTCACTCTGGAAAAATGAGTCAATCCGCGGCGTGAATTAAATTTAAAACATTCTGTGATTAATTTAAATAAATTTGTTGTTTTTCATTCCTGAATTTCTAATTTTTTTCTCTCTGCGCTATTAATATAGATTATACTTCTAGAAAAATGCGTTATTTATTTATTTATTATTAGATATTAGTATTTTTTAGATTTATTTATACCTTATGATATTTCGCTTATTCTTCAATGTATATTGATTTTTGCAGAATATATATATATTCATTTGGAAAATATATTTCTTATAACAGAGGGCGTGCCATATATATGATGTATATATATATATATATATATATATATATATATAAATTGCTATCTCTAAATGAATTTGAATTTAATTTGAAAATTATATAACTATTGTTCATATTGATATATATTATACAAAAAAAGATATGAATATTATATATGTATAATACGGAGGGTGTTTCCTTTCAAATGAAACGATTTTCGAGCGCTCGCGTTTTGCACGTGCAGGCATGCTGCACACGACACTGGTTCCAATAGATCTAGAATCTTCTGGAGAATTCATTTTCATCAGGTATCATGATTTTTGCAACATGGGGGGAGAGAGACTAACGCTCCAAGTCGAACAAACAATTCGGACCCTTTCCAAAGAAGGAAACAGTTATAGCGTCATAGTGAAAAAGCTAAAAGCAGAAGGACTAGATGTTGGCAAAGCTACAATATGTAGGGTAGTAAATGGCATCGGAAAGAAAAGGGAAGCTGAATCCAATGGGCAAAAATTTCAAGTCGATCGACCACGTCCGGTGCGGACCCCCGCCACGGTTTCCAAGGTAAAGCGGCTAGCAACTACTGAAAATCCACCATCTCAGCGCCAACTTTCCAGAATGTGTGGAACATCGCTAAAAACGATAAATAACATCATTCACAAAGATTTGGAACTGGATACCCGACGAAAAGGCAAGGTTCACAAGCTCACCCCTTTCCACATGAAAAACCGTGCAACGAATGCCCGGAAGCTCTACGAGGAACACCTGGCCGGTTCCAGATCGCAATATACTGCAACATTGGACGAAGCATGGGTGTATGTGACGTATTGCAATGGAATCCGGAAGATCTGTTACATCAAAAGAGGCAATCAGGTCCCGGATAATTGGGTTCACCAATGCTCCGAAACTTTCCCTAAAGGTTTCATGGTTGTCGGGGTAATGACTGGCCGTGGAGTCCTTCCGCTCATAAAGGTTCCATCGAAGGTGAAGGTGAACTCAGAATTCTATATAGAATGCGTTCTGAAACCTGTCATCGAACAACTGAAGGACCTTTACCCAGGGGAAATGGACAAAGTGTTCCTTCATCACGACAAAGCCTCTTCCCATACCTCCAACAAAACCCAACAGTTCCTACAAGAAATGAAGGACACCCTAGGCCTAAATTTTATCAGGAACTCGGACATTCCAGTGAAGTCTCCCGACGCCAGCCCACTGGATTTTTACGGGTTCGGTATGTTGAAACAACGGCTCTTCAACCGACGTCCCAAAACTGAGGCCGGACTTTGGAAAGCCGCACAAGAGGAGTGGTCGAATGTTTCGCTCTCCAAAGTCAAGGAAGTGTTCGCAGCTTGGAAAGTCCGATGCAGGGAGATAGCCAAGAAGAAGGGGAAGCACATAGAACACATGAAAAAAATTC